TGTTGTCCCTCCGCCCATGTGCACTCTGCCTTGGAGCCAGCCAATTGTGGATTGAAATCTCTACAAACTGTGAGCTAAATAAACCTTTTCCCCTTAGAACTCTGGGTGTTGGGTATTTTGTCTCAGCAACAAGAAAAGTAACCAAACAAGATCAGCGGTGGAAACTTATGGCATGTGTGCCACAGCAAACGGTTTGTATCAATGAAAGCTCTAAAAAGTTCGCCATCATTGGTCTGCACATTAACCCTCTATAAGATGAATAGCTGGCAAAGACTTTTTCCCATTCTGCAACTAACATACATCTCCATCCCTGTTTATTTTTTATTTCCAAACAGGATGTAAGTTGCCCAGGTTAGCCTTGAATTTTTGATGCTCCTGCCTCAGCCTCTTATGTAGCTGGAATTAAAGATGTAAGCTACACCCAGCTAAATGGAGAAGCATTTTAGTGTAATAAAATCCCATGGTCAATTTTTGCTTTTGTTTCTGTCCCCAAAGGTTTCTATCTAGAAAACCACCTGCCTATACCAATATCTTGAAGTGTTTCTCCTATGGTTTTTCTTAGTTACCTTTCTTGTTGAGGAGACAAAATACCCAAGGGTTAAAGAAGGAAATACCCTAAGTTAAAGAAGGAAAGGTTTACTGCAGCTCACAGTGTGTAGAGGTTTCAGTTCATCGTGGGCGGCATAGGGAGGCATTAGTAATGCATGAAGGGGGTTCACAGGTCAGTGCCTCGGGATGGCAGAGACAAAGACGCTCCAAACCAGCCACTATTTGCCGGGTGTATACAATGGTAGGAGGGGCTAGCAGAAAACTCACAGGTCGAAGACTCAGCAGGCAACGGATAATCCTGGGATGACTCAAGGGGCCGGAGAGGATCCCTGCTGAGAAGGATCTTGCCTTGTAGCGTTTTCGTTTTTGCTTTTAACATTAGTAATTTAGTTTAGTCTTAGTGGGTAAGAGAGGATGGTCCACCCCTAAAGAGTTAGTGGGAAATCTCAAAGGGGTGATTCCAATGTTTCCAAGGCTCCATTGCTCCCTTAGGGAAATATGCAAAATTAACCATTGTGAATTTGTGGTGCCCAACAACCATGGCCGTTTCTCTCCTATAGAGTCTATTCCAGCCAGCCATGTGAAACACATGGCTGCGTGACCACTGGACACAAAGGTGTCAGATTTGCCAACTGTTCCCCACTTCTTTCAACTGCCAGCCACTCCACCTGTGGAACCTCTATCATGTCTATCGTCTTTTTTGTTTGGGGTTTGGTATGTTTTTTTTTTGTTTTTTTGTTTTTTTGGGTTTTTTTTGGTTTTTCTCTGGTACCGGGAACCGAACTCACGACCTTGCACTTGCCAGGCAGGCTCTTTTGCCGCTGAGCTAAATCCCCAGCCCCTGGGGTTTGGTATGTGACAAGGCCCAGAACAGTGTCAAACACATGGCTCCATAGATCCGCCCACGTTAATCTTCTGAGTGCTAGGACTACAGGCATGTGCCTCCCCTCCCCAGGCCTTGTCACTCACCATCTTTAACAAATGTCATCAAAAAGACACCTTTGATTAAAAAAAAAAAAAAAAATGAGACCAGGTGTGGTAGTGCACACCCATGATCCTAGCACCCTGAGAGGTTGAAGCAGGAGAATCACAAGTTCAGCTTCAGCCTGAGCAACTTAGCTCCTTAATGAGACCCTGTCTCAAAATAAAAAAACCACTGGAGGGTTATCTCAGTGTGAAGGTTCTGGGTTTTGGCTTTTGTTTTTCTTTTTTTTTTTTTCAAGGTCTGGGTTCTTTAAACCCCAGTGCTAGAGAAAAACATTAAAGCTGGGTATACCTTAATGGTATAGCACTTGCTTAGTATGTGTGAACTGGTTTTTATTCTCATTATTGTAAGATGTATGTGTAAGTATGTACATGTATGTATGTACATATGTAGAGGCCAGGCATGGTGGCACACACCTATAATCCCAGCACTTGGGAGGCTAAGGCAGTAGGATCACTGTGAATTTGAGGCCAGCTGGGCTACACAGTGAGTTAAAGGCCAGCCTGAACTGTATAAAGAGACCATGCCTCAAAAAAAAAAAAAGTATAATGGCAGAGAACTGATCAGTGATTCCTAGGCATTATGATAAGGGGAGCTACGACTACAAACAGGTTTTTATGAGATGATGATGATCATGATACCATTGTATTTTGATTGTGGTAGAAGGGTAAAGTTTACATGAATCTATGTACCTGTGCTAAAATATATAAAATAATTTTATTGTATGTTAATTGAAAAAAATAAAATCAAAAGCAAAACTAGATGTGCCTGCCCAGGTATGCAGAGACAAAAGAGACCCTTACATAGGGGTAAAATAACAATCCAAACACTTTTTAGAGGGTAGAAATAGCAACCTTTGTGTTGCTATGAGCAGCAAGCCATTTGCAGCAGTCTTGTGCTTTGAAGCTGACAGTCTGTGATTCTGACCCCTGCCTCTATGCCCTCCTAGTGCAGGTTGCCATGCCTACCCAAATTCCCCTCTTAGCCCACAAGACCAGACTCCTAGCAACAAGCCAATACCCAATCAGTCAAGTGTTGCCCCTACCCCATAAAACAGGATTGCAGCCCCAGATTCAGTGGTGTCCTAGCTCTGGGCCCTGCCACTCCTTCAGAGCGACTCTTTACCACTTCCTCTTGCAATACCTGTAATAAAATTACTTTTACTTTGCACTGGTCTTCTGTTCTGACTCCTCTTTCTCTTTCTAGTCAGAGACAGACAGGCAACAAACAGGAGACTGTGGGTAGAGTAATTCCTATACACTGCCTCCCAGAGCAGTAAGAACTATATTGTGAATGGAAAATGCAATGTTTTCGATGAAATTATTTAAAATTGGCCTGCTAGGAATGGTACCGCAGACCTGTAATCCTAGCACCTGGAAAGCTGAGGCAGGAGGATGGAAACAAGTTTAAAGTCAGCCTGGGCGACATAGTGAGTTTAAGGCCAGCCTGAGCTGTATACTGAGAACCTGTCTCAAAAAACAACAACAACAAAAAAAAACAACCAAAACAAATGGACCAAAACCAAGTTTGGAAACAGCTTGGGTTGGGGGTAGCTCAGTGGCGTCCCTGGGTTTGTCCCCACCTAGCACTACACACACATTGGAAACAAAATTTTTAAATGTATGTAACATACTAAAAGTAACAACTGTGTGGATTAAGTCTGACCCACAGTCTCCTGTTTGTTGCCTAGTAGAATAAGACAAGAGTTTATTTAGATTGGAGTACACTGTCAAGAGGACAGGAGGCAAGTTTCCAAGGAATGAATCGGACAATCGGGGGGGAGGCTGGGGGGTTTCTTAGGCTTTGAAAGTGTGAGGGAGGTATGGTGTGAGCAAACAAGTATCCTAAAAAGGCTTTCTTTAGGTCAGCTTGCACTCTGGTGATCGCACAAGAGTAGCTGTTATGTCAAGAGTTATATACACAGCTGGGCATGGTGGCACACACCTGTAATCCCAGCACTCGGGAGGCTGAGGCACAAGGATTGTTGTGAGTTCGAGACCAGCCTGGGCTACAAAGTGAGCTCAGACCAGCCTGAAATGCATAGTGAGACCCTGTCTCAAAAAGACAAATTAAAAAAAAAAAAAGTTATAAAGGAGCCAATTTGACATGGTCCACTGCTCTGGCCCTCACAGAAGGCCCTTAGGGCTGGAATGTATCAATTCCACAAAAGGTTCATGGGCCACTGAGGAGAAATACTACGTGTTCCACATCAAAGACATATTTACACTTCCTTTGTTTATATCTTTGCCTGAATGGCCTCTTAGTACATGCCAGGAAAAATGAGCCTAATAGAGGAAGAGTTTTGTTATTAAGAGCTGTAAGTTAACTCATTGTCTGCAGTTCAAGTTTAAAACTGCTACAGAATTTGGATCCTTTAGTGTTTAACTATAGTTTCCTTTTTTCTTTTTCTTTTATTTTGGGGCAGGCGTGGAACCCAGACTGTGTTTGTTTGTTCGGATTTTTTGTCTTTTTCAGACAGGGTCTCGCTATGCAGCTATGCAGTTCCAGCAGGCCTTGAGCTCACTTTGTAGCCCAGGCTGGTCTCGAACTTGCAAGGATCCTCCTGCCTCAGCCTCCCGAGTGCTGGGATCACACGTGTGTGCCACCACGCCCTGCTGCCTTTTTGGTTTTTGTTTCTGTGCTTGTCTGAGTCAGGAGGCCTATGGGTCTGGGATGGAAAGCTGGAGTCTGCGCTGGAAGCCAGGCAATGACATCCAAGATAAAGGCAAAGACTGGCGCTCTCAAGTATTAATTTGTCAAATATAACCGTTGAAAACATGCCATAGTTTTGTTACACACTTTTGGACTTATTTTAATTTCTAATATCCCTAGAGCTCCCCAAAATGGCAGGATTCTGTATGTCTGCGGGTAAGTGTACTGTAATGCATTTTCCATTCACAATATAGTTCTTACTGCCCTGGGAGGCAGTGTATAGGAATTACCAAGAGTAGAATAAAACAAGAGTTTATTTAGACTGGAGTACACTGTCAAGAGGACAGGAGGCAAGTTTCCAAGGAATTAATCGAACATTTATTCTGTACCTCTCTAGGAATTTATTCTGTACCTCTTTGCTAACCTTGCCCGATATTCATAAACCTATGTAGCAGGCACTATAATTATCACCATTTTAAGGATGAAGAAGGTGAATTTACAGCAATTGCCAAATCACAATTGCCAAATCACTTATAGCTTCTAAGTGATAGCTCCATCTCAAACCAGGAAATCTTATCAACCTGCCCTGACTCTAAGTCACTCAGAGGCTGGCAGGCTTTTAAGGACCCAAATTTGGCTGGCGGCTAAAGATGACCTCACGGACAAAGGATCAGGAAAGCCCTTCCCCCTCCCCCTCTCCCACCTCCTCGCCTACCCCAAGGTAGCCCTTGCCGCGGGGCTGAGCGCCCTCGCGGGGACCCGCCGCGCTGCGCATGCTCAGTCGCGGGGCACGGCGGGAGAGGGGCGGGGCCGGCGGGCGGCCGGCTTGGGCGAGCGCGTGGGAAGCGTCGTTCGTTGGCTGAGAGTCCTCCTGAGCGAAAGTAGTAAGATTCCTATTGCGGCTTTCGGTCTGTACTCCGGCGCGTTACCAGGAAGGGGCAGAGCTTCTCTGGGCGGAGGGAGGGTAACAAGCTTGGTGGGGCCGGGATGCCAGAGGCGCAGGCCTGACTCTGGGTCGTGGAACCCGGGGGTCGGGAGCTCCTGGCCAAGCCCGGACGCGGCGTGCTAGGCTGCCCTTCGGCGTGGTCTGCGGACAGTCGGGGTCCTTCCCCCGCTTCCGGCGACTCGCGCCGTCCCCTGGCTCCGGCGTCCCAGTTTGAGCGGCCTTTCTTGCTGAAACACTCGCCCGATTTTACCTGTGACTCGCGTCAGTGGTTTTTCTAATTTAAAAAAAAAAAAGCCTTGGAACAGCTTTTGCAAACAGTTGTCCATGGGACTCCAGCTAAAAGAGATGAAGTAATTATAAAACTTTCACTCTTGAATTGGGACTTGAAATTCGGATTAGATGAAGGTGCGGGTTTTTTTGCTTTTTTTTTTTTTGAGATAGGGTCTCGCTATGCAGTTCAGGCTGGCCTTGAGCTCACGTTGTAGCCCAGGCTGGACTCGAATTTACAACCATTCTCCTGCCTCAGCCTCCCGAGTGCTGGGATTACAGGTGTGCGCCACCACGCCCGGCCCTGAAGGTGCGGTATTTAGTTCATTAAAAATATCTTGGCTTGCATCCACGGTTTGCAAACGTAATTTAATCAGCATTCTCAGGATGCAATCCCCGCGCACTTTTCAGTTAAACTGAATCAGAAGCTTGAAAATACTGGGAATGCGGGCCTGGGGGATGGGAATGTAGTTCGGCGGTAGGACGCTTGCGCAGCATGCGGTGAGGCCCTGAGTTTGGTCCCTAGCTGTGCCCAAAGAAAACAAAACAACGAAGTGGGCAATTTTGGCCTTAATTAAGAGTTGAATTACCAGTAATTGATGATAACTTGTATTCCTCATCACAGATATATAAACCTCCAATATTTATAAGAACTTTATTTTACAACACTCCCGATTTAACTCTTAGGTTGAGGCAGGAGCATTAAAGGAGTGACGTACTTAACTAAAGTAGTGAATTCGTCTAGGGTTTATGTGAGTGAACATAAACAAGCTCGAATCCACAAAGGACTGCCGCAAATATGTCGTCATCCTGATCAGCGCCGGAGCTCTGTACAAAGAATTGAACTGTATTCACTCAGTAGAAAAAACTACTGTTTCCTTAATGTCTGTTAATGTAACACAAGTTAATGTTTTGGAAGCATCCAAAATATTTCATACTTGATACGTAATGCTCTAAGAGTATCATGGTTTTTTTTAGCTTGCTTTTTTTTTTTTTTTTTTTGTTTTTCCCCGGTACCGGGAACCGAGCTCACGACCTTGCGCTTGCCAGGCAGGCGCTTTTGCCGCTGAGCTAAATCCCCAGCCCCTTAGCTTGCTTTATTTATTTTGAGACAGGGTCTTGCTCTGCAGTTCAGTCTGGCCTTGAGCTCACTTTGTAGCCCAGGCTGCTCTCGAACTCAGGACGATCCTCCTGCCTCAGCCTCCCGAGTGCTGGGCTTACAGGCGTATGCCACCATGCCCGGCTTTTACTAGCTTTTTAAAAGTGTGTATATATATATAATTTTTTTTTTTAATCGGGAATCGAACTCAGGACCTTGCACTTGGCAGGCAGGCGCTTGTGCCGCTGAGCTATATCCCCGGCCCTGAAAGTAAATTTATATTTTTTGTGTTTTGTTTTGTTTTGTTTTGTTTTTCTTCCGGTACCAGGAATTGAATTCACGACCTCGCGCTTGCCGGGCAGGCGCTGTGCCGCTGAGCTAAATCCCCAGCCCCATAAATTTATATTTTAATATAAAATATAAAGTATAGGACTGTATATGTAGTTCGGTGGTAAAGTGCTTGCCTAGTACATGTGAGCCCCTGGGTTCCATTCCCAGCACCACACACACACAAGTAATATTAGTATTAGTAGCAGTAAGTATAATGCAAAGAAATAAGAGGAGTATATCTGTTTCGAGGTTTTATTTTTTGTTGTGTTCATACCCTACTTTCTTCCTTTCTTCTCTCCCTCCTTCCGCCTCTCCCTTTCCTGCTGGGGATTTAACCCAGGTCTTTACCATGCTAAGTGCTTACTCTGCATTGAAATACCTCCCCAGGGCTACTCTAGGTTCTGTATAGGTACATTAGAATTACCTTGCAAGTTCCACAAAAATCCCTACAGGGATTTTGATGCACAGCTAAATTCTGGGAAAACTGACCAAAAAGTTGAGTCTTTGAGTAGTATTGTGTATCTTTCCATTTGTTTTAATCTTCCTTAATTTTTCTTAATGGTGTTCTGATTTCAGCGTACAAGTCTTGGCCTTTTTCATTAGATTTATTTCTGTATTTTGTGGGGGTTTTTTTGTGTGTGTGCTTCTGGGAATTGAATCCAGGACTTCATGCAGGCTAGACAAGTTCTACCACTAAGCACTGAGCTACATCCCCAGACCCTGTATTTAATATTTAGAATGCCATAGAAAATAGTTTTAAAAAAATTTTTAGTTTTAGTCCAGAGAAATGCAGACAATTTTTAAATATTGACCTTGCTAAATTTAATTATTTACAGTTCCCTATGGGTTTTTTTAATATACAGTCATGTGATCTATGAATAATGACAGTTTTGCTTTTCAGGATTGCCTTTTTTCTCCCATTACTGACTAAAAAAACCTCTAGTACAGTGTTGAAGAGAGACAATGAGAGAAGAAATTCTAAAATATCAACCTGTATTGCTGAATTCTTATATTAGTGTTCCCCCCCCCCATACTTGTGGAAGATGCTTTCTAAGACTCCCCGTGGATTCCTGAAACCTAGAATAGTACCAAAACCTGTATATGTCACTGAAAGGAAGCGCTTTGCAGCTTCTCTTTGGCATATCAGAATTGCCAGCCTTGCTACTCTTCTCCACTAAGTAAAATAAATGTTACTTGAGCACAAGCATTATGACAGCACAAAATAGTCTTTCTGCTAACCTATGGGGGTTACAGGAAGGCAAACACTTTCAGCATGCAATTTAAAACTTCAGAATTGTTTATTAAAACTAATGAATTGTGTACTTTTGCAGTTCTTTAATATTTTCAGACTATAGTTGACTGCAGATAACTGAAACCAAGGAAAGGGAAACTTAAGAGTGCTATTTACTATATTCTTTTTTTTTATTTACTGTATTCTATTAGTTCCTTTATAAGGTGGGCTGTGAAAGATTCCCTAGAGTTTCTATAGGCAAGTTTATATTATCTAAAAATAAAAAAGTTTACTTTTTTCCAACCTTTTTGCCAAATTCCCACCATTTCAGTTTAGCCTAAAGAATTTCTTTTAGCATTTCTGCAGTATAGGTATGCTGGTTATAAATTTTTTGAAAATTTCTTTGTTTCACTGTTTTTTGTTTTTCTTTTCTTTTCTTTTCTTTTTTTTTTTTTTTGGAGACAGGGCTCACTTTGTAGTACAGACTGGCCTTGAACTCCCTGTGTAGCCCTGAGTAAGCTCAAACTTGAGATTCTTCTGCCTCAGCCTCTGGAGTGCTTAAATTACAGGTGTGCAACACTACACCTAGGTTAGATAGAATTTTCCACAGTAATTTATTACTATTTTTGCAGTGCTACAGATTAAATCTAGGGGTCATGTGCATGTTAGACATGTACCTATACCTCCAGCCTCATAATTTTGAATCTCTTGTTTTTTAATTTTTTGTTTTTGTTTTCAACACTACTGAGTGAACCCGGGATTTTTGCACTGAATTACAGTCTCCACCCCACCTCCACATACTCCTTTCTTTCTTTTCTTTCTTTCTTTCTTTCTTTTTTTCTTTCTTTCTTTCTTTCTTTCGCTTGCTTGCTTGCTTGCTTGGCAGGACCTTGCTAAATTGCCCAAGCTGGGCTTGAATTTTAAGATTTCCTGCCTCAGCCTCATAAGGTGCTGGAATTACAAATCTGTGCAACGATGCCACACTCAAAACATATTTTTATTGGCTATAGAGCTTAGGTAGAGTTTTCCATAGTACTTTATTACTATTTTTGTGGTGCTACAGGTTAAATCTAGGGCCATGCATGTTAGACATGTTCCTATACCTCCAGCTTCCCAGTACTCTACTTTAAAGATGTGCCTCTGGCTTCTGGCCTTCATTGTTTCTGGTAAGAACATATCTTTTTTTCTTTTCCTTCCTTTACCCCTCCCCACTCCCTCGTTCCTCTTCCCATTGAACATTTTCTTCCTGTTTCACAGTATCTATTAACGCACTCTGGCCCTTATTTACACTTTTGGTTTCTCATGCCAGAAAAACAGTGTGGTATTTATACATGTGTCCGGTTTATTTCACTGAAGAGTATGGTCTCAAGATGCATCCATTTACCTAGAGAAATCTCAGGTTTATCTTTATGGGTGAGTGGTCCTCCACTGTATAAAAAGACCTTCTCTGGGGCTGGGGATTTAGCTCAGTGGACATCCTGAGTTCCATTCCCGGTACAAGAAAACAAACAAACAAACAAAAAGACCTCTTTCATTTTGTTTTTAATTCCCTATATGTTGATTTTTTTTTTCTCCTTTCTCTTGCTGCTTTTTAAGATTCTCTTTTCATCTTCTGTTTTAACCAGTGTGACTCATACAGTACTTGTGTTTTCCTTTATATTTATTGTGTTTGTGATTCATATGCTGTGTGTGTGTGTGTGTGTGTGTGTGTGTGTGTGTGTGTTTGTTTGTGTGTTTGAGACAGGGTCTCTCTATGCAGTTCAGGCTGGCCTTGAGCTCACTTTGTAGCCCAGGCTGGCCTCAAACTCTCAAGGATCCTCCTGCCCCAGTCTCCTGCGTGCTGGAATTACAGGCATGCGCCACCACACCCCGCCCTCCTATAGCTTATTGAATTTAGGTAGTTTGCTGTTTTTCTTTAGTTTGGGGATAAAGTTCTTAAAATTTTGATACAGGGATTCACTAAATTGTCTGGGCTGACCTCAAACTTACAGTCCTCATGCTTCTGCCGCCCAGAATGCTGGGATTGCAGGTGTATACCACCATACTTGCTTTGTTTTTTTTTTCAGTCAGTTTGGGGATTTTTTTTAATTGGCTCATATATTTTTATTGTATTTTGTATTCTGTTCATGATGGATGAAAATTCTTAGCATCTAGATGTACTTTCTTCAGAGAACTGTATTTCATATAGGCAGGCCAACAGCAAGTTAATTGACCCTGTTGAGTATTGGCTTTTTTTGTTTGTTTGCTTGTTTGTGGTGATGGGGATCAAACCTAGACCTTGTACAAGCTAGATAAGTGCTGTACCTCAGAACTGTACTACAGCCAGAGGATTGGTTTTAGATGTTGTTAGGGATTGTCTGCTTTGGTTTGCCATTCCTTCAAGGAAGTAGTCTTTGTTCCCATGGTAGGTCCCTCCTAGGACCTCTACTAAAAGGTCAAGTCTTGGGACTATGGGGGGCTGAATCCAGGACTTTCTCACTGAGCCACATCCCCATCCTTTTTTGAGATAAGGTCTTGCTAAATGGCCCAGGTGGGACTCCCAAGTTGGATCCTCCTTCCTCAGTGTCTCAGAATGCTGGGAATATAGACTACACCACCTGCCCAGCAAAATGCCTGCTCTTAATTAAACAAGGCCCCTTTCCCTTTGCTAGTCTTTAATTTCAACTTTCAGTTCTAAATAGCTACTCAGGTATTATCTCTTCTCACCTCATTAGCCTCCCAACTGCTGTTTTCTGCCAGGTTTTTTAGAGTTCCATTCTGCAGACATGCTTCTTAGGAGTCAGCCAGTGGCTGGAGAATTTGTTTGTAAATCTGGGGACTGTTGGGGCTGGGGATTTAGCTCAGCGGCAAAGCGCTTGCCTGGCAAGCGCAAGGTCATGAGTACAATTCCCCATATGGGGGGGGTGAGGGGGATAACAATCTGGGGACGATTTAAAAAGAAAAAAAGACAGGGTCTCACTAAATTGCCCAGAAGCCAGGACTCCAAACACTTATCTCCTGTTTTCTGCTTCACCTTTTTTCCCCTACTCTGTCCTGGAAAGCACCTTAAATTCTTGCCAGTCTGATAAAATACATAGCTGAACTGATTTACAAACAAGCAGGATTTGAACACAAGATGATTTTTATAGGACAGAAAATAGTAGGAACACAAGTATAATAGGGAAGAATTGAATGGTGAAGGTGAGACAGTTTGAGATCCAGGTTTATATAAGCAATACTGTACTAAAGTTTCAAGAGGAAAGGGGATGAATTCTCTCTGAAGATTTGTATGTGTAATTCTTGATAACTTGCAGTTTCTTTACCATCATGTTTCATTTGTGAAAGAGAACCTGAGTTTTGTTGTCTGTTCCATGATGTATCCTTATTTAGTTTAACACATTCCTGCCAGCTTGAGCCACTAGTGGTTCAGAACCACCTGGAAACCAGACATGTAAACATGTTAAGAACACACTATGAACATGTTAAGAAAAGAAAAAAATAATTTTCCAGTGCTAGGGAATAAACCCAGGGCTTTGTGCATGCTAATGATACATGGTTTCTTTGGTTTGTTTTAGGTCTTTTGTTGGTCGGTTAATTGCTTGGTTTATTTGGTTGGTTGGTTGGTTTTTAAGACAAGGTCTTGCTATGTATCCTAGGCTGGCCTTGAACTCAAAGAGCTCCTTCTGCCTCAGCCTCCCAAGTGCTGGGATTACAGACCTCAGCCACCACCCCCTGGCTCATGCTAGTCATGTGCTTTACCACTGGGTAGTAGCCCAAACTCTTCTTCTTCTTTTTTTTTTTTTTTTTTTTTTTTTTTTTTTTTTTTCTTCTACAAGGTCTCACTATGTAGTTCAGGCTGACCTTGAGCTCACTTTGTAGCCCAGGCTGGTCTCGAACTCGCAACAATCCTCCTGCCTCAGCCTCCTGAGTGCTGAGATTACAGGCATGCGCCACCATGCCTGGCTTTCGACCTCTTAATCAAAATGTTTTAAATTACTTACTACCAAGTAGTATTGACCAGCATGGAAAGCAGCCACAATTACCCTTTGACTCTTAGTACTCTGACATACTATAAGTTAGCCCCATTTTGGAAAGATGGGTAGGACTGCACTAAAAGCTGTTCTTAAGGACTTACTCTAATGTGCATGTTGTTGTTAGGAATTGTCCAGCAAAATGCCTGCTCTTAATTCATCTTTTTTTTAATAGATAGATAAATGTTATTGTCTCCAGCCTCAGAAATATTATAAAATAACTGATTTTTTTTCAGGGTGATTACCACTGTTTTCCAGTTTGTACAGTCACAAGTTTGAAGGAATGCCAAGGTAACAAAGCTCATAGGTGCTTTGTTTTTAATTGATGGTAGATATGTATAGTATATTTACTTTCAAGTAAGTGAATCTCCTAAATAATGATAGAGTAATTTCCAGTGAGTTTGTGTGCAATTCCCATACGGGCTAGACAGAGGCCATCTGACCTACATGTGCGCTTATAGTCAGGCCTTATTGAGTTAGTGTTTAATTTTCTGCCTTGGGATAGGAGCTTTTCAGTACCGGGAATTGAACTCACGACCTTGCACTTGCCAGGCAGGCATTGTGCCCCTGAGCTAAATCCCCAGCCCAGGGACAGGAGCTTTTCAATAAAAGCTGAATTAAACATGGAGTTGAGAGGAGGTGGTAGAACTCCAACCTCAGAAAATAAATGGCTTAAAAAATAATGGCAGAATTTCTTTTGTCTCATGTACTAACTCCAAATGAAACCATAGATCTGAATTACTCCTGTAACAACTTTAACTTGTCCTTATTTGTCTTGTGTTAAATCTAAGGTTTTGATCATGGAGCAAGTTGCCCCTGCTGTCCATAGTCATGCTAGAGTGACAGGAAGGGAAAGAGTTCCTAAAGATTTAGAATCAGGGCTGGGGATTTAGCTCAGTGGCACAGCACCTGCCTGGCAAGCACAAGGTCCTGAGTTCGATCCCCAGTACCGGGAAAAAAAAGGAAAAAAAAAGATTTAGAATCAGAGGCAGCAGCTATCAGTCAAGTAAAAAGGATAACAGAGCCCCACACTGTAATTGGAACTGAACGATCACCAGCATCCTGGTAATTACTCAAAAATCACAAAATTTAAAAATTTTCTTTTCCAAGAATGTAAAGCCAAAAACTATGTTGAATAATGGGTGAAAGGAAGGAGGCCAGTTGTGATATGAAGGAACCTTGATGTCGTTATCTAAACACCCTTTTGTAGTTGCATAAACTTATCATACTTTAAAGCATCATTTTAAAATTAGACTCTTCATCAGTATTTTATTTTAGGAATCTGGAGGATTCCTTTGCATCGATACTAAAATGAAAGAACCACTGTTAGATGGTGAGCATGATGAAGCACTGACACTACAGCTGGGGCAGCTAAATGAAATAAAGACAGAACCCGACAATGCTCAAGTAAATATTTTACCTTATATTCTTTTTTCTAAAGCAGAATTTAATTATAAAGGTGCCAAAAAAAAATATAAAGGTGCTAATTTATCAGTTGAAAACTCAAATTCTTCTCCAAAGTAGTAGATAAAATAATATAAGGTATATGATGTTAAGTGCCAAGAAAGTGCTTTGAAAGAAAAATAAACTATGTGGAGATGGGCTTTTAGGTAGATAAAAAGATTGCTTAGGGTGTAATTGACCTTGATAAGGTTAACACATTTTTGTTTTTCTTAATTGGAAATAATACAAGTAACTAATTTTATGTGTTTATGCTACTGCCTCCATTGAGTAGTACAGTTCATGCATTATTTCAGCTTTTTGTTTTGGGTAGGGGACAGAGTCACCTTAAGTCACTAATTGTCCGTTCTGAATTTGAGCTTGCCGCCTTTTCCCTCCGCCCCTGAGAGAGCTCGGATTATAGGTGTGGGCTGTCATGTGTAGAATACATTTTAAACTCATAAAAGATTTTCTTCATAATTTTTAAACCCAAATTAGTGTTAATGTTTACATTTCTTTTTCCTGGTGCTAGAGATTTAACACAGAGCCTTTAACATTCTAAACATATGCTGTACTAGTTTTTGGTTTTTTGTTTTGTTTTGTTTTGTTTTTCGGTACTGTGAATCAAACTCAAGACCTCGCACTTGGCAGGTAGGCGCTGTGCCGCTGAGCTAAATCCCCAGCCCCTGTACTAGTTTTGTTTGATTTTTTTTTTTTTTTTGCTTTTTGAGACAAGGTCTCACTATGTAGTTCAGGTTGGCCTATCATAGGCCAACTTGAACTTGCAGCAATCCTCCTGCGTCTGCCTCCAGTTGCTGGGATTATAGGAATGTACCACCATGCCCAGCCTTAGTTTAAATTTGTGTGTGTATGTGTATGTGTGTGTGTGTCTTTTGAGACAGGGTCTTGCTGTGCAGTTCAGGCTGGCGTTGAGCTCACTTTGTAGGCCAGGAGGGTCTCGAACTCTCAATGATCCTCCTGCCTCAGCTTTCCGAGTGCTGGGATTACAGGTGTGCACCACCACGCCCAGCTACTTAGTTTAAATTTTTAAAAAACCTTTTTAAACATACTGGCATACTCATCACATGGTCAGAGACCACCATAGGGACAAAGAACAAACTCCTGGACCCTTAACTTGTTAATCATCTAAAGCATCAATTTGTGTTTTTTCCAAAGACAGGTTTAAAAGTGGTTTTTGCTAAAAAATATGACTCTCCCCTTGGGCAAATAGACTCCCAATCAGTAACTAAAAGCAGACCAAAGCTTGAGCTTCATTTTGTGAAGCTCTGGGTCCTTCTTAGCTCTGTATATAGATATTTTAGTCATTTAGAGAGTATCTTGTATATTAGACCTAAAATCTACCTAGCCTCCCTCATCACTCTTCAAAACTGAAAACATCTACAGTTAGCAGTTTTGACTGTGCCAGTATGTCGGAAAGCTAAACCTACAGTAACCTTGGATTCCAGCAGAGCCTCATATGACTGGAATTGCCCCTCAAGGCATAAGAACTTCTTACATGGGAACCAGATTGCCCCTCAAGGATGGGAAGGATTCAGCCTGAGCTGTGAAACCAGCACTGAGATATTAATCAGCTAGACCAGTTAATCCTTAAAAGTTTGCTTCCTGCTTTTGCGGGCAGAGCCAATCTGAACCCCTGTATGAGAGTGAACCGCTGTATGAATGAGAGTGTACTCCCTACTCAAGTTGCAGTCTTTTCCTATCTTCTCTTTTACTTTACAATTAAAGCTTTTTCTGTAAATTCATGCTGAGTTTTGATTTCCATATCATGAAAGCAAAGACCCGTACTAGCTGCTGACAAGTACCACATACTAAAGAACCGATGAAGGATAAACTGGCTCAAGCTTGAATCTTAAGAAAGAAAAATCAAATTTCTTAGAAGGTTTTCAAACACAATAACTGAAATTTCTGATGAAAGAAAAAAATAAATCAGAGAATTCAGTTTTACTTCCAGTATTCCACCAAAAAGTAGCCCAAGGCAAGTGCGGTGGTGCACACCCTAGTCCAGCTATTAGGGAGACAGAAGCAGGAGGCTCACTTCAGCCCAGGAATTTGGGGCAAGCCTGGGCAACATAATGAGACCCCATCTCTTTAAAAAAAAAAAAAAAAATAGAAGTAACATAAAGTAGATCATTACTAAGTGAGGTTATTACTGCTCTTGAGTTGATCATACTGGGGAATGTTATCCATGTAGGAATTACCAATTGCCTCTTCAACTCATGGATAGTCAAATCTTTTTTTTTTTAATAGTCAAATCTTACAGATCAAGTTTAGACATTGTTTTAGTCATTGTCCTCCTCGCTGAGACACAGTACCTAACACCCACAACTAAAAAGAGAAAAGATTATTTTGGCTCACATTTTTTAGCCCATAATTGGCCCGTTCCAAGGCAGTGAGACACTGTAGGAGGAACTGGAGGGTGCATACTGCTCACCTCACTGCTGTCACAAAGCTGAGCACAGGAGGAGGAGCCAGCGAAGGAGAAACCCATTTCAGGGCCACGCCCCCCGTGACCCACCTCTTCTGACCCAGCCCCACTCCTGACAGCACATTTAGCTATAAACTCTTCAGTAGACTAATCCACCAGTGATGTAATCACCTCCCAAAAGCCCCACCTTTGATTGAATGAGGCTTTGGAGGAACATCTAAATATAAACCATAACAGACATTTTAGCCATGGACTTCCCTGATGTTCTGGAAAAAAGCCAGAAACAATCACTCAGTCCAGGGGCTGGGGATGTAGCTCAGCGGCAAAGCGCCTGCCTGGCAAGCGCAAGGTCATGATTTCGGTTCCCGGTACCGGAGGGAAAAAAAAAAAACAAGGTACCGGAGGGAAAAAAACAAAACAAAACAAATCACTCAGTCCAAACAATTCTGGGTTTAAGGTCTTTATGACAACTGTTGGCTGTTAATGATTAAAACAAGTACATAGGGACAATAGGTGTCATCGAGTGTACCTATTCTGTGTTCGTAGTAGAAGCTGTTAAATATTACTGAAGGCCATTGAGCTTCAAACAGACCAAGTTAGAAATCACAGTGAAGTCACTAAAGTTTCATGTCACCAAACTGAACCTAAACTGTTTAATATGACCTGAAAAATCTTAGATTAGAGAGAAAATGTCAGAATTTCCCAAACAGGAAGGTTTCAGTTGGCCTGATAATAAAATTCCCTCTACCTAATCCTTACACAAAAAGTAACCGGACGTAACCTCACATTAATCAGTTATTTTTGTATTATTCTGCCTGTCTCCACTTTCTTTTCTTTTTTTTTTTTTTTTTTTGAGACAGGGTCTCCCTATGCAGTTCAGGCTGACCTTCAGGTCACTTTGTAGCCCAGGCTGGCCTCAAACTCGCACGATCCTCCTGCCTCAGCCCTCCGAGTGCTGGGATTACAGGCATGCGCCACCACACCCGGCTCCCTGTCTCCACTTTCTAAGGACAGTAATTTTGAAAGGATCAGTCCACTTGATCTTTGTTTATTCCTTCTTCAGCCCTTTTTTACCTGTAAAACCAGCCGCCTCTGCTTGACTCATTGGAACACTTACTCTGTTTTATGGAATTAACTGTTGCCCAATTCTAGAATTTAAAATAAAACTATAACCGCTGGGGGGTGGGAGAACCAGCGGGGACCACCAGGCTCGTGTGGAGGCAATGTGGTGTGGAATTTATTGTGGCTGGGTGCAGGTAGGCAGAAAGCAATAAGGCCATCTGCCCCAAACAGAAATGTGTCCCTTTTTTTTTTTTGGTTTTTCTCCGGTACCGGGAACCGAACTCAACAACCTTGCGCTTGCCAGGCAGGCGCTTTGCCGCTGAGCTAAATCCCCAGCCCCTAGAAATGTGTCCCTTTTATAGGGATGGAAAGAAGGCAGGGGATGTTAGGCAGGAAGATTTTAATAGTCATCCGTGGTCAAAGTTCTTTGGCAGTCTTGCACCTCAGTGGGCAAAGTCCTTGAAGTGTCTGTTGTAAATTTTTGGGTATTTCCAGGTGTCCCAAATGTCCTAGGACCTGCAAAATTCCTTGCCTTATCTTATCTTTCCCATCCTGTGCTTGCCAATGAAATGTAACTTCATACTCAACTGAGTCCCTGCAGAGAGCAGTACCTCTGCTGGCAAGCAGGTTGAGGGCTGGGGAAGTCAGGTCTGATTCGAACCTTACAAAAAGTAAAGAAGATAGCTAAACTGTTATTTTGTCTTTGGACATTACGAAAAGATGGTTGGTTCTGAAGTCACATTTGAGTGCTATGGAAAATTAGTGTTGTCAGTGAAAGGGTACCAAAAGGAGAATGCTTACGTGTGTACCTTGGTTCAAGTCAGTTATACGGTTCATTGAACAGACTTGAGAATAATTTATCATTTTCTGCTGATGTTCTTAAATACATGGTATTCATTATTTTCTATTATTTTTTAGGAGTATTGTCAAGCCCAGCAACCCAAAAATCAAGAGAATGAGCTGAAAATAAACACATTTGCTGACAGTGGTAATAGACTTAATTATATTTAATAATATGATATGCCAATTTAGTTTTCTAAAATGCTTTTGACTGTTGCCTAGTTGGAAGTTGGGTTTCAAGTCCAGAAGTTACCTCTAAAAATGAAAGAATGCATACTTAATTTGATGAAAATACTAATTATTTTCTTCCTGTTTTGTTTTTATAGCTTCACAGTTGAATACAGGCATTCAGCTTTCTCTGGCATCATCTGGCACGAATAAAATGCTTCCTTCGGTTTCAACTGCAGCTATTCAGGTTTCCTGTGCTGGTTGTAAAAAAATTCTCCAGAAGGGGCAAACTGCTTATCAGAGGAAAGGGTCTACTCAGCTTTTCTGCTCTACACCATGTGTCACTGAATACATTTCGTCTGCCAATGTACCGGCTTCTACCAAGACAACTTGCTCAAACTGCTCAAAGTATATAATTCTAATTTATGCCCTTTACTTTCTTACACAGATCTTGGCCAGAATCTTAGTTGTAATTTTCTATGTTATTCTTTTTTTTTTTTTTTTCCTGAAGATTTGTCACCTTGGTTTAATGAAAAGAAGCTGCTTCCACTTTCAGTTCCTCTAATAGATTGTTCAAACATAGTTTTGTTGTTGTTTGCAGAAATTAACATGGGAGTTCTGTTTCTTTTCAATCTTAAATATGTGACTCCCAAAGCTTACTTTCCTTCTCTTCATTTGAAGTTTTCTTTTTTTTTTTTTGGTTTTTCTCCGGTACCAGGAACCAAACTCACGACCTTGCGCTTGCCAGGCAGGCGCTTTGCCACTGAGCTAAATCCCCAGCCCTCATTTGAAGTTTTCTGTCAGGAGGATTATTGGTATGCTTGCAGTGGTAAAGAAAGTTATGTAATTCTTTTAAAAAATTGGATGGCCATAGATAATCATACATGCATGTTAATAATCTTTCAAAGATTTCTATGAGAATGAGATTGAATCAGCAGCCTTTTCCTTTTGAGAATCCAAAGGTAACATAATTCTGGGCTGTTAGTATTCATTAAATGCTAATGCCAAATTTTAACTTCTTGTTTCAAAACAAAAAAATTCACAGACCACCAGATTTGTTTGTAAATATAGTAAATTCTTTTCAAGTAATGTCTTAGAATTAGATTCCTATAATATGAATGTTGTTTCTTCCATTTACAGTAATATTTTTCTATTCAAAATATGGTCCTAAACAGCCATATCAGCATCACCTAAGCGCTTATTAAAAATGCAGATTGTGGGCCAGGGATATACCTTACTGGCACAGCACCTGCCTGGCAAGCACAAGGTTGTGAGTTCAAGTCCCCCCCTACACCAAAAAAATGCAGGTTATCAAGACTCAGCCAACCCAGTGACTCAGAACTGCATTTATTCCTATGTGATTCATACATTCATACACGTGCTAAAATTTGAGAAGCATTGAGAACTTCGTTTTTTAGCATTCCCATTTGTTTTGTGAAATAATAACATGAGAGTTAATGAGGATTAAATCATGTGTTTTAAGTGATCAGAACAGTACTGGCATGTAATAAGAACTCAATAAATGTTAACTATCACTGTTACTGTTCCATCCTTAACTAACTCACAAACCCTTTTTTATGCACGGCTTTAGCTCCTCATTTGACTGCTGCTTCAATATTACCTGTTGCTTTAAGTCTTAATCCTCAGAACTGTATTTACCTTTCTCTTTACTTTTTCAACCCTTCGATACTATACTTTGTCTTTTCTCTTTATTGCGCTGGGCTATGTGGCACTGTCTTCAGCCTGCTTTCTCTCTCTGCAGAATCATAAAACTGGAAGGGACCTTAGAGATCATCCAGTCCAAACCTTTTCTTTTGGTTTTAAGGAACTGAGGCCCTGGGAAGTTAAGGTATCATCTTGCTATATTTGGAGTATACTCACTACATTCTTTAGGGCCAGCCTAACTACATGTCAGACAGATCCAGGAAGGCTGAAGCAGGAAAGACTTAGTGTGTAAGTCACTCTCTAAGGCATAGAAATCCAGTATGAGCAACACTATGTGATGAGTATTACTTCTGGAATAAAATTTTTCTTAAAAACTATATATATAGATTGGTGGAACGGTGGTTGTAATGCTTAGACTGGGAGAGGCCATCATTGTGCATTGTAACTTGTGCTTTTACCAAAGCTGTCTAAAATTTTATATGCATTAGTCTCTTGTAATGTAGTTCTCAAAATTTTAGCTAAGATTTAGTCATTTTTTAGGTTTCTTTTATAACAGTGGTTTTTTGACATCTTTTGGGGTTAGTTTTTATTCTACTTCATGAACCAAATGAAAGCTTTGAATATGACATTTGAAAGTTTATTAGAAAAACTGTGATTTGTTTTAGGCAACTATATATTTAAGAAGTATCATTTATTTTAGTATGTTTTTACTTTGAATTTCCCTGAAGACTAACAATGAAGAAGTATCATTTCTACACTTTACTCTCCTAATTGGTTCCAAGTCCTAGAAATCCTACAACCAACGAATAGGTCCAAAATAGGCCTATGTACTAATGCTTAATTTACTTATAGGAAAGTTGAAGTTTGTAAAACAAAACTTTTACTCCAAGTTTGTTGAAGTCAACTTTAGGTCCTTCTAACAAAATTCAGTTTTTAAATTTTTTTTAAAAATGTTTTGTTAATAAGCCAGTAGTAGATTAGAAACCAGCATTCTAGTATGCTGATAGCAGTAAAAACTAGTAAGCATTTTCAGATTGCCATGCCTTTTCTAGTGTAGGTGCTCTGCCTCGTTTCCTGTCTGGTTCGTTTCTTCCTGTCTTAAGGGTGTGCCTCAAATATCTTTACCCCTTGTCTGTGCTCGAACTGCCCCTCGCTATCCTTTTGTCACTGCCTCCCCAAACTGATTGTTCTGTGGTCTGCTTTGATACAGTTGTATGTGTGTGCACATCTTGTCATGTTTAAACAATGAGCCTTTCGAGATTAAGGACCAGACGATAGTCATCTTTTTACACCTTCTAACAGCCTAACGTTGGGCCGGGGATATAGCCCAGCAGCACAGTACCTGCCTGGCAAGTGTAAGGTCCTGAGTTCAATTCCTGGTTCCAAAAATAACCTAACATTGCCTGGAACACTGTGTATCCTGTCAAGTGAAATATAGGAATAACATTTTTGCTAGAGCTAGCTATATTTTTAACGGGTAGAATCACTGATGTGATAATGTTACAAAACTTTTACATTAGGATAGGAAGGTGGAAAGGCCTTAAAAATTTTTAAATGTTGAAGTGCTAAAGTATTGCTTTCAGGAGAAATTCATCTGAAAAACTGTTCCGAAGGTCCTAAAAATCCAAATGTCTTTGTATTTATCATAGTGGCACTTCTCAAACATTTAATTTTAGAAACCCTTTACACTTTGCAGAGGGTGTTTGTGTGTTTGTTTGTTTAATGGGGCTAGGTTTCACTTATTTTTCCCAGTCTGGCCTGGAACTCCTGGACTCAAGCCATCCTTGGCTTCCCAAGTCGCTGGGACTACAGGTCCATGCAATGTACGCAGCTTTTTTTACACTCGTAAAAATTATTAAAGACTTCAGCCAGGTGTAGCAGTTTATACTTGTAATCCCAGACTCTGAGAGGCTGAGGCGGGAGGATTGCAAGCTTGAGCCCGGCCAGGACAATTTATCAAGACCCTTTCTTAAAATTTAAAAATTAAGGGCCAAGGATGTTGCTCAATGCAAAGGCCTTAGATTCAATCCCGAGTACCACCAAAAAAAAAAAAAAAGATTGAAACCCTGAGAGGCTGTGCTTGTATAGGTTATATTCGTCAAATTTACTGTGTTAGGAATTTAAAATTCTAATGAAAAATGGCCATACTTTTAAAAATTGGAAAAATGAATTGTTGCCCAGGTGTGTTGGCACACATCTGTAATCCAAGCACTTAGGAGGCTGCGGCAAGATGATTGCTGCATTCCCGGTACCAGAGAAAAACCAAAAAAAAAAAAAAAAAGATGACTGCTGCAGATTCAAGGCTAGCCCGGGCTACAAAGTGAGTTCAAAGCCAGCCTGAACTGCATAGCAAGACCCTGTCTCAAAAAGACAAGAAAAAAAAAGAAAATGAAAAATGAATTATTGCACCAGGTTTATAAATGACTGGCTGGATTTTCATATTTGTTTTGCTAAGGAAATATGGCCTCACAGATACGTAATTGGAAAAGATGGATGTCTTATTTTTATTAATGTGTCTTGTTCTTTGAATGTATGTTTTACCCATGAATGATTTTTGTAACATTATGGTGTCATCATTTGGAAAATAGTTGGTTCAGTGAGTTCTAGAGCTCTTCCAAATGTTGACACATTTCATGATGCAGTATTTTACAGATGACCACCAGTCTCATCAGCAAACTCTTCACATGTTGGGAAGTGAGCAAGCTGGAAGTGGCAGATAAACATTTTCCAAAAATTCTAATTTTTAGTGGAAAGCTTGAATTTTATTACTGTCAGTAAATACTGTCATTGTTTTCCTTGAAATGATAGTCTAACTTTTTAATTTGCTAGAAATTGTCTGTAAATACCCACTTCTGAATAATAATTTTTCAGTATGTTCAAATGAAAATGTGATCCATGAAAAAAGTAGCTAATTCAGGTCGTAACTTTACATTCTCATACAGGCTTTGTCTTGAGACAGTCATCAACCTTTGGTCGGCTGGAGAAGTCCTTCATGCCATTTTGTCACACAGAATATTAAAATAATGTACTGTGGGATCATAATAAGTTAAAAATACAGTTTCATTAAGGACATCCTTAAGTGAAACTGACATGGTTTGTTTTACAGCAAATGTGCGGAAGGGAATAACATGTATATAGGTACATTTTGGTGCCACTGCCTTGATATGTGCTAAAGCCCAGGCTGTTTTACCTGGGCTTTTTCTTTTCTCAGTTCATTGAGGTGAAATTTATGTAACAAAAAAATTAACCATTTCATTGGCATTTAGTATACTCAGAGTGTTGGACAGTTGTTACCTCTACCTTATTCCAAAATGTTCCTATCACCCCAAAGTAAGTTGCTTTATTTATTAAGCAGTTTCTCCCCACTCTTTCTTCCTAACTCCTAGTAACCATCAGTCTACATTCTTCCTGTGGACCTGTCCTGAATATTTCACATCAGTGAAATCATACTGCATGTGATTTTTGTACCTGGCTTCTTTCCTTTAGTATGTTCTTAAGAAGCATCCTTGTACTTCATTCTTTTTTATAGCTGAGTAACAGACTCTTGAATGTATTTACACAGTTTGTTTATCCATTCATTCACTGATGAATATTTGAACTGTTTCTCTCTTTCAGCTATTGTAAATAGTGCTAGTAGTTACGAACTTGTGTGAATATATACTTGTCTGAGTGCCTGTTCTTAGTTTTTCTGTGTGTATACCTAAGAGTAGAATTGAGGTAGGCTTTGCACCATCAGTTAAAATGTCAAAACAGTGGAAAAGGCTAATTTTTATGAAAATTAGCTTTGATGTTTTGTTCCCCCTCCAAGTATCTGGAGTACAACACCTCTACCTTCAACAGGAATTGCAGACTATACTTTGATTTTTTGTTTTTGGTTTTTTTGTTTTTTTTTTTTGGTTTTTCTCCAGTACCAGGAACCGAACTCACGACCTTGCGCTTGCCAGGCTGGCGCTTTTGCCGCTGAGCTAAATCCCCAGCCCCTGCAGACTATACTTTGAGACAATCTGTCTGATAGATCCCGAAGTTCCTCAGATATTATCATGGAACTTATCATCATCACTGTGTTCTCACTAGCACCAGTTAGTACAGGCTAGTCTTCAGCATTATAGTAGGAAACATGTTTTATAATCCTTACTATAAATGAAGAAATTAGTGTATATGGAGCATAAATGATTTGTCCAAGCTTGCTTAATATGATAGAAATCGATACCAAATTCAGGCTTTCTCATTTCAAGGCTGATGTTCTTACTATTGTTTCACAGTTCTTTGGGTAAATGAAACAGCAAAGGGGTCATTTCATGAAGAGCAAAATGTTAGTATTGCGGTAACAGTGTTTCATGGTGTCCTTATTACTTATTTTTAGAGACATTATAAATCTGAAGGATGTGATCAGTCTCCAACTGGAAGATAATACCTCTAGCAAAAACTTTTGTAGCCAAACTTGTCTTTCATCATATGAAGAAAAAAGAAAACCATTTGTTACCATATGTACTAACGGCATTTTGACCAAGTGCAGCATATGTCAGAAGACAACTACTGTAAGTTGTAATTTTTTTTAACATTTAGAGGGATTCTAATTTTTCTTAAGTGGCAGTTTTTATTGCATTTTTTTTAAATCCTAGATTCAGTATGAAGTAAAGTATCAGGATGTGAAATACAGTCTTTGCAATAATGCCTGCTTTTCAAAGTTTCACTCTGCTAACAACCTCATCATGAACTGTTGTGAGAATTGTGGAGCATACTGTTACACCAGCTCTAGCCTGTTTCAAACACTTCAAAGGGATGGACAGTCTCATTACTGTAGTAGCTCAAAGACTATTACAGCAAGTGAGAAGGTATGAAGAAACATTATTTCTTCCATTAGTTGGTCTGCGGAATGGTTCTACTTTAGGAAAATGTGTGCATGTAGTTTTTCATACCACTAAGAATAATTTCTGCTGGTAAGTTTATGAAGGTGAAATAAAAAATGGGAAGTTCCTTCTTGCATGAGAATTCATAAGTGTTATATGGAGATTTTCCTACTAAATAATCTTTGATTGTCTTACCAAGGAGAAAAGGCAGGCAAGTGGAAGTCTATTTATAAACTACAAATAGCCAGGGCATGATGGTGCATGCCTGTAATCCCAGCACTTGGGAGAGGCTGAGGCAGGAGGATTATTGTGAGTTCGAGACCAGCCTAGGCTACAAAGTGAGCTCAAGCCAAGCCTGAACTGCATGGTGAGACCCTGTCTCAAAAAGAAAAAAAAAAAAAAAAACTACAAATAAAGATAGCAAAAATAACTATTATAATCTATTGGTTAGTAAATCGCAAACAGAAAAAGTGTTTTTGTTTTTAATTCCATGTATTTTAAGTCTTTCACCTAAGCAGTGTAAAAATGAATCAAGAATATTACATGCTTTTTCTAAATCATTCATTAAAGAAAAAATGAGAAATAACTAGCTTTTTTTTTTTTTGTCTTTTTAGAGAGGGTCTCACTATGCAGTTCAGGCTGGGTTTGAGCTCAGTGTGTAGCCCAGGCTAGTCTTGAACGTACAATGGTCCTCCTCCTGCCTTAGCCTCCTGAGTGCTGGGATTACAGGCTTGTGCCACCATACCTGGCAACCTACTGTTTTTTGTTTTTTGTTTTTTTGTTTTTGCGGTACCGGGAATTGAACTCAGGACCTTGCACTTGCCAGGCAGGCACTTGTGACACTGAGCTATATCCCAAGCCCAACCCACTATTTTTGATAGGAGAGCCTTTGGCCCTCTGTTGGTGAACCAGTATGAACACAACTACTGGTCTAATCCTCTTTCACGAAGTAGGACTATTACATATCTTGTTTATATGATGCTTTGTGATCTTAAGTTGATCCCTATAAATTCTTTTTTAAAAACCAGCAACTGGCCAGGCCATGGTGGCACACACCTATAATCCCAGCACTCAGGAGGCTGAGGCAGGATGATCATCATGACTTCAAGGCCAGCGTAGGCTACATAGTTCAAGGCCAGTCAACTACATAGCAAGACCCTATTTCAAAAAACAACAAAAACAACAAAAAACAGCAACCGGCTAGAGCTGGTGGCATGTGCCTATAATTCCAGTACTCTGGGAGGATGAGACAGGAGTTTCACAAGTTCAAGCACAGCCTAGGCAACTTAGTGTTCATGAGAAACCTGTCTCGGGGGTCAGGGATATAGCTCAGAGGTTATAGCACCTGGGTGGCAAGTGCAGGGTCCTGAGTTTGGTTCCTGGCACCAAAAAAAAAAAAAAAGAGAATAAAAAGAAAAACCTGTCTCAAAATGTATAAAAGGGCCAGGGATGTAGCTCAGTATGAAGGCCCTGGCTTAAATCCCTAATACAAAGAGAAAAAAAATTGAAGGTAGGAAATCCAACAAGGCACGATTCAAATTCTGTGGTAGAATGACCTCACCATGACAGTGTTCTGCCTTGGGACCCGAAATGGGAGGATAGAAAGCACAGAAGCCTCCCTCCAAATATAAGAAATACTATTCCTTCTTTTTATTCTTCTTGGCTCACACTCAATAAGTAGCTATCCTGTTTTTATTATTGAACAATTTATTATTCTATATTGAATACCCCAGGTATTCAGCACGTGTGATGAGGCAGGGCTAGCATGAGTAAACCAGTTAACAAGCACATCATAAAACTTGCTGTATGTAAAGTATTGAATGTCAGTGATGATGTAATAAACCCATATTATTAGTGAACTATAATCAAGAATTGGAAAACTTAAAATACATGAATCTAAAAATGAGTTGAATTTTTATTGTAAAAGGTGGATTGTTATGTACTGGATTATTATGTACTGGCACAGTGACCTGTCCCTATAATTCTGGCACTCAGACTGAGGCAGGAGGATTGTGTCTTCAAGGCAAGCCTAGGCAACATAGTAAAACCCTACAAAAAAAAAAAAAAAACAATAAAACGTTTAATTATTTGATGTAACTATAACTATTTGGTCTTTTTTTTTTTTTTTTTTTTTAAGGCAGGGATCAAAGTTGTGATCCTCCTGCCTCAGCCACCCAGAGTGCTAGGTCTGTAGGCATGTACCACCATGTCCTGCTTGGCCAGTTCTGCTTAATAGAGTGTATGACATACTGGTTTTCCCCTGTGAGTAACAATTGATTTGTAAATTATACCAATTTTATGGTTTTGAGATTGGGGATTGCACCTTAGACCTATGCACTGAACTATATCCCCAGCCCTTTTTTATTTTTAATTGAGACATTGATTTGCTAAGTCACTAAGTTGCCCAGGCCTGCTTCAAATTGGTGATACACCGGCCGCACCCTCTGAGGGTACCAGGATTACAGAAGCTACAACAGCTGAAATAACTTAGTAAATGGTTCTAAACTAAAAATATATAAAGTCACAGATTAAATTAAAGAAGAAATTAGACAGGTTCTACAATTAAATGATAATGACAGTCAGCATAACAGAACTTACGTGACACAGTGAAAGCGGTCCTAAGAGGGAAATTATAGCGGTAAATGCCCATATCAGGAAAACAGAGCAAGCGCAAATAACTTAATGGTGAACATAAAACTTCTAGAAAGAAAAAAAAAGATCGGGCGAAGCAAAAGCTCGTATAAGGGAGGAAATTATAAAGATCTGAGTAAAAATTAACACATTGGAGAGTTAAGAAAACAATACAAACAATCAATGAATCAAAGAGTTGGTTCTTTGTTTTTTTGTTTTGTTTTGTTTTTTGTCTTTTTGAGACAAGGTCTAACTATGCTGTTCTGGTTGATATTAAACCCACTTTGTAGCCCAGACTGGCCTCAAACTCACAAAGATCCTCCTGCCTCAGCCTCCCCAGTGCTGGGATTACAGGTGTGTGCCACCACACCCGGCCTAAAGAGTTGATTCTTTGAAAGATTAACTAAAATGGACAAATCCTTATCCAACCTTAACAAAAAAGGAAAGAAAAGACTCAAATCCATGCAATTAGGGAAAAAAAGGGTAAAATCACAATGGACCCTGCAGAAATCCAGGCAGTCTACACCTACTTTGAAAACTTGTATTCTAATAAGATGGAAAATGCATAAGAAATGGACTGATTCCTAGGTACATATGAATTACCAAAGCTGAATTAAGAAGATATAAAAATCCTAAGTAAACCAATATCAATTGATAAAATCAAAGATGTAATTAAGAACCTACCAACAAAGAAAATCCCAGGCCCTGACATACTCACTGCTGAATTCTACATGAAATTTAGAGAAGACCTAATACCACTACTTCTAAAATTCTTTAATGAAAATGAAAGGAAAGCAATACTCCGAAATTCATTCCTTGAGGCAAGCATTAGTCTGATACCAAAATTGGCGAAAGACCAAACTAAGTAAGAGAATTACAGGTCAATGTCTCTAATGAACATAGATGCAAAAATCCTCAAAGTCCAGCACCCATTCATTATAAAAATCCTACAGAATATTGGAATATGTGGTCTTTATCTCAATCTGATAAAAGCCATCTATGAAAAATCAACAACCAACATCATACTAAATGGACAAAAACTGAAAGCTTTCACTAAAATCAGGAACAAGACAAGGCTGACCACTGTCTCCACTCTTTTTTTTTTCCATTTTTTCTCCACTCTTATTCAACATGGTCCTGGAGCCTGTAATCCCAGCACTTGGGAGGCTAAGGCAGGAGGATCATTTTGAGTTCAAGGCCAGCCTGGGCTACAAAGTGAGTTCAAGAGAGCCTGAACTGCATAGTGAGACCTTGTCTCAAAAAGACCAAAAAAAAAAACCACAGTCCTGGAAACTTTAGCCAGAGCAATTAGACAAGAGAAAGAAATACAAAGAATAAGGATAGGAAAGGAAGAAGTCAAATTATTATTTGCAGATGACATGATACTCTACATAGAAGACCCCAAAAACTCCAGTAAAAAACTGCTAGATTTAATGAACAAATTCAGTCATGTAGCTAGATTAAACGTCAACACTCAAATAATACAGCCTTCCTGTACACAAACAACAAACTCACTGATAGAGAAATTAGTTTGTTTTGTTTTACTTTTTTGTCTTTTTGAGACAGGGTCTTGCTATGTAGTTCAGGCTGTCCTTGAGCTCACTTTGTATCCCAGACTGGTCTCAAACTTGCAACGATCCTCCTGCCTCAGCGTCCTGAGACCTCGGATTACACTCGTGCATCACTACGCCTCGCCTGATAGAGAAATTAGGGAAACACCTTTCAATACCATCCAAAAAAGTGAAACACTTAGGAATCAATCTAATGAAAGATGTAAAAGACCTCTACATTGAACACTATAGTGCTCTGAAAAAGGAGATTGAAGATGATACCAGAAAATGGAAAGATGTCCCTTACTCTTGGATAGGAAGAACCAGTATAGTGAAAATGGCCATACTTCCAAAACTGTTACACACATTTAATACAATTGTGATCAAAATTCCAACAGCACATCTCACAGAATTAGAGAAAACAGTCCTAAAATTCATTTGGAACCAGAAGAGACCTATAACAGCAAAGGCAATTCTGGGCAACAAAGGCAAGGCAGGGGCATCATAAACCCTGATTTGAAATTGTACTATAAAACCACTGTGATAAAAACAGTGTGGTACTAGCAAAAAAAAAAAAAGAAAAGAAAAGACCTGAAGATCAGTGGAACAGATAAAAGATGTAGATACAATTCTGGATGTTCTCAGCCACCTTATCTTTGATAAAGGTGCCAAACACATTCCATAGAAGAAAGAGCGCCCTCTTTAGTAAATGATGCTGGAAAAACTGGCTCTGAACATGCGAAACATTAGAATTGAGCCCATATCTTTCACCATACACTAAACTAAATTTGAAATGGATCAAAAATCTAAATATTAAAACAGAAACATTAAATCTGCTGGAAGATGGAGTAGGTAAAACTTTTGAAGATACTGGTATAGGCAGACTTTATCAGTAAAATCCTGAAAACGCAGGAATCAACAACTGAGATCTCATCTTATTAAAAAGCTTCTGTACAGCAAGAGAAACCACCTACAGAGTGAAGAGACAACCCACAAGTAGGAAAAAACGTTTGCAAGCTATTCCTCAGAGAAAGGATTACTATCGAGAATGTATAAAGAACTTTAAAAAAATCAGACTTCCCAAATTTAAAAACCCAATCCAAAAATGGGCATCTGAGATGAATACACTTCTCAGATGAGGAGATACAAACAGCAAATAAATATATCAAAAAACGTTGACCATCACTGGTTGAGAGATGCAAATTAAGACAACACTGAGATTCCATCTCACCCTGGAAACAATAGCTCTTATCAAGAAATGAACCAATAACAAATGCTGTTGGGGCTGCAGGAAAAAAGGAACTCTTTACCGTTGGTGGGAGTGTAGACTGGCGCAACCACTATGGAAATTAGTGTGAAGGTTCCTCATAAAACTAGGATGGGAAAGGGGCTGGGGATTTAGCTCAGCGGCAAAAGCGCCTGCCTGGCAAGCGCAAGGTCCTGAGTTCGGTTCCTGGTACCAGAGAAAAACCAAAAAAAAACAAAAAACAAAACAAAAAAAAACTAGGATGGGAAGTCCCACTTGACCCAGCTATTCCCCTTCTGGTTTTAAAAATGTATCACCGTGATATATGTGCACCCATGTTTATAGCAGCACAATTCATAATAGCTAGATCTTGGAAACAACCCAAATTCAAATCAACAGAGGCATGTATTTTTATACCGTGGAGTACTACTCAGCCATAAATAATTATAAACTGGAGACTTTTATAGGTAAATGTGTGCAACTCGAGACCATACTTATAAGTGAAATAAACCAGATGCACATATGTAAACTTCATATTATCTACCTCATGTGAGAAGCTGAGTTAATAAGATCCACCTTGTACAATAGGTATTGTAAAATGGGAAGAAACTGTTGAAAAGGAAATAGAAACTAAGATGGAGGAAAGGAGAAAAGAAGGGAAGGAGAGGAGGGAAAATATGTATATAGATATAAAAAATAGTTAAGTGGGCATGGTGGCGCCTGCTTGTAATCCCAGCACCAAAGCAGAAGGATCGTTTTGAGGCCAGCCTGGGCCACAAAGTGAGCTCAAGGCCGGCCTGAACTGCACAGTGAGACCCTGTCTCAAAAAGACAAAAATAAATAAATGAATAAATAAAAGTAAAAGATAGTTATACTTCTAATTTCTCCAAGTTCATTGAAAAGTTAATTTTGTGCTAATATTGTTTGGATAATTAAATGCCTATACTTGTAGTCTGAGTAATTTAAATATAATAATACACAATGTATTAACCATTTTTACCCTCTTTGGAAATTTTGGGGGTTTTTTCCGCTTTAAAATTTAAAAAAAAAATATGTTCATATTAATAATAGAATTTTGCTGGGCATGGCGGTACATGCCTGTAATCTCAGTACTTGGAAGGCTGAGGCGGGAGTATAGCTGCAAGTTCAAGGCCATACTGGGATACATAGTAAGTTTAGGGCTAGGCTGAACTACATAGTGAGACTCTGTCTCAAAAAACCAAAAAAATGGAAATTTGAAAATTATTTTCTGCTTTTTGTTTCATCATTCCTTCTCCAATATTCTGTTCTTCCACCAAAAAAAGAAACTATGCAGGTCCAGTAGTATAACTCAGCAACACAGCACCTTCGCAAGTGCACAGTCCTGAGTTCAATTCCCATTACAAAAAAAAATACGCATATTTTCGTTTGCCTTTGCAATATGTACCTCAGAAAGCAGTTCTGTCCCATCATTGCTATCAGGTTATAAAAGAAAAGCCTGGTGTTGTGGCATATTTCTGTAATCCCAGCACTCAGGAGGCTGAGGAAAGAGGATCACTAGGCCAGCCTGTACTACATAGGAAAACACTGTCTCAAAAAAACAGAAAAAGAAAGGGAGGGACCAAGGGAGAGATAGTGATTCTCATATTTATATCTTTTTCCTTTGTATAGTTACTGCTTATTGAATTCACTGTAGCTTATACTGCTTGTATCATGCTCTCTTACAGCGCATTTGTAATTTTTACCATAAAGTTAGCCTAAAAGCACAATGGGTTCCACACTGTCTTATAATAGGTTTATCCATTTTTTTCATGGTAGTCATTGCGATCTTTTTTTTTTCCCCCAGAATGGCCTTGAACTCATTATGTAGCCCAGGCTAACCTCATACTCAAGGCAGTCCTCTGCTTCAGCCACCTCGGTGCTGGGATTTTTTTTTTTTTTTTTTTTTTTTGAGTGCTGGGATTATAGGCTTTGACCACCACATGTAGCTTTTTGTTTTTTTAAGGAAGTGTTAAAAATTGGCTTCATTTTCATTTGTAATACTGCAGCTAAAAAGTGGTAGTAAATATAATTTTATTTGTTAATAATATATAGCATATGCCAGGAATGTGAGTATTATTTTAATCTCTGAACAGAAACCAGCCAAAACGCTTACATCTTTTCCTTACAAATCATTGAAACCATCAGATGAAATGATTGAGATTACTAATGACTTGGGGAAGACAGAGATTTTCTGCTCTATTAATTGTTTTTCTGCATACAGCAAAGCTAAGATGGATCCTTCTACAGGTAATGTTTTTTTTTACCACTTTAGAGTTCTATTAACAATTGAAGAATATAAATACATTTTGCTTTTCATTTATAACCTTGATTCATTTCCAAACTAAACTAGTTTATAAGGCAAAATAGTCTAAAACACGTTGCAAAGAACTATTTTTTAGTTTTTTGTTTGTTTCTATTGATAGCACTGGAATTGAACCCAGGGACAATCAGCTACTGAGGTACATCCCTAGTCCTTTTTATTTTGAGACAGAATGTCACTAAGTTGCCCAGGCTGGCCTTGAACCTGTGATCCTCCTGCCTTATGTTCAAGTGCAAGGTCATGAGTTTGATTCCTGTACCCAAAAAAAAAAAAAAAAAATCCAGCCTGAGCTACATATTGAGACCCTGTCTCAAAATACCATTTTTTTTGGTACCAGGAATCAATCAAAATAACTTTTTTTAAAAAAAGATACAATTTATGGGGAAAAGTTAGGGATAAATGTCTATTTACATCCTTTAGTGAATATGTTTACATACATTTGTATATTTAGAGTTATATACATGGAATACCTAGTGCAAGACTTGATTCATAGGAATCAGTTAATCAGTACTGAGTTTATTCAATACCTTTATGGTAAGAATAGTTCTTTTAGAATGTAGAATGGGATGCTGGGGATTTAGCTCAGCAGCACAGCGCCTGCCTGGCAAACGCAAGGTCATGAGTTTGATTCCCGGTACCGGAAGAAAAACAAAAAACAAAAACACAAAAAAATAGAATGTAGAATGTTAGCTGGGCATGGTTGCACATCCTATAATCCCAACACTTTGGGAGACTGATGGAAGGAGGATCATAAAATCAAACCCAGCCTGGACAGCAAGACCCCGTCTCAAAATAAAAAATTAGAGAGGGTTGAAGCTGAGCATGGTGGCTCACACCTGTAATCCCAGTGCTCGGGAGACTGAAGCCACCAATTCAGGGCCATCCTGGGCTGCTTAGTGAATTCGAGGCCAGCCTAACTGTGTAGTAAGATCCTGTCTCAAAGCAAAACAAAAAATAATAATTTTTAAAATGAAAGGGTTGAGGATGTAGCCCTAACAAAAATTATTGTAGTTCCCAGCAATACCTAAGGTATTTTATATTTATATTGTTCCTTGAAACATCATTTTTTTATATGGTTGGAGGTTTGGTTTGGTTTGGTTTTTGTGGATCTGGGAATCTTGCTCTGATGTTCACGCAGACTAGGTAAGCACTCTAACCATTAAGCTACATCCTTAACCCAAACCACTTATTAAACACTGCGGGGGTTTTTTTTGTTTTTATTTGTTTGTTTGTTTGTTTGTTTGTTTTCTGGTGCCGGGAATCGAACTCACGACCTCGCACTTGCCAGGCAGGCGCTGTGCCGCTGAGCTAAATCCCCAGCCCAAACACTGCGTATTGATTGATTGATTGATTGATTCTGCCCAATTTATAAGACGTGTTTTTGTTTATTTTTATCAGCAAGTGTTTCCACAGTGCACAGTGTTTCAATGGAGCACCTTTCTCCAAACAAAGATTTAATTCCAGTCATAAGCAATATAGTGTCATTAGCAGATAATCATGTTGCCCTGCCCATCATGAACTCTGAGATCTTACAAGGTAAAAGTTGATGCGAAGACATTTGGCATAAACGGTTTTGTCATGCTTAATGAATCTGTTTGTTAAATTTTGGTTTTGTTTCCTGATAGGAAATAAGTCACTAGAGTTTATGATGCTGTTTTATAGATGATAGTATGAGATCTTAAATTTATTCTTCAATTTATTTTAACAGATACAGTTTCTTCAATAACAACAAATGTCATTACAGATGTAAGTTTTATCCTAATTTTTTTGGCTACTGTCTTTGATAAACAGATTGTGTGTACATACGTGCATGTATTTATAAGAAGGTTTACACAGGCCAAGCATGGTGGGGCACGCCTGTAAGCCCAGCACTCAGGAGGCTGAGGCAGGAGGATCGTTGCAAGTTCGAGACCAGCCTGGGCTACAAAGTGAGCTCAAGGCCAGCCTGAACTGCGTAGCGAGACCCTGTCTCAAGAAGGCAAAAAAAAAAAAAAAAAAAAAAAACAATGTTTACACAGAAGTCTTACTATTCATATCTTTCCCCCTTGGGAGATTATATTTATTAAACAACTTGAGGCATCCAAGCAATAAAAATTATTTAAAAATTATATATCAGAAGGTATTTTTAAACATTTAATGCTAAATCTAGATTGCAGATTAGTTACAAGTAATTGTTAGTTGAAAAGCTGAAAAGTTCACACAGTAATTGATTTAACTATGTTATTGGAATAGATGTTTGACGTTTTGATTATTTGAAAACTGCTAAAACAAGTATTATTTTATCATTTTACTCAAAGATCTCAAAGAGTTCAAGGGAATCAAGTGATGGCGTTGCTAACGGTATGGAACAACCAGGCCTTTTGCCTTCATCTTCAGTACTCAGTCCGCACACAGTTGATTCCAGCATAGAAGTACAGAAAGGTGAAGTATTAAACCAGGACCCTGAATACGATGTGAAATCTATGCAAGTAAGTAATGGACTCTGTCATACAAAATTTACGTCTAAAGCGCAAAAAGTTAAGGATAAACCACAGAGTATTAGAAAATCTTGGCGTTCAAATCGTCAGCGGGTAAATAAAAAAGATGTGACATTTTGTTATTCATGCCAGTTGTTCTGCCAAAAAAGTTTCAGCAATGGGGGAGAGTCGTTTGCAACCCAAGGCACTTCTAACTGGAAAAAAATGCTGGAAAAATTCAGAAAGCATGAAAAAAGTGAAATGCATTTGAAGTCCTTGCAGTTTTGGAGGAAATACCAGTTTTGTAATGAAGCTGTCAGTGATACTTTATCTGATCATCCTAAACAGATTGAGGACCAAAAGAAGTACCTAAAGCTTATAGTTGAAAATATTTTATTTCTTGGGAAGCAGTGTTTACCCTTAAGGGGAAATGACCATTCTGTTTCTTCTGTGAATAAAGGCAATTTTTTAGAATTGTTAGAAATCAGGGCAAAAGATAAAGGAGAAGAAATATATCAACTTATGAATTCACAAGTTGATTTCTATAATAGTACACAAATTCAAGCTGATATTTTTGAAATAATCAAGATGGAAATGTTGCAAGATATTGTGAATGAGATCAATGTCTCCTCAGCTTTTTCAATTATATGTGACGAAATAACCGATCATGCCACCAAAGAACAGCTTTCAATTTGTGTAAGATACCCACAAAAAACATCAAAAGCTATTGTAATTAAGGAAAGATTCTTGGGTTTTGTTGATAATGAAGAGAAGACTGGGACCTACTTACATAGGAGTATCAAAACCTACCTGCAGCAAATTGGAGTTGATTTTAATACAATTTGTGGCCAGGCCTATGATAGTACCACTAATTTGAGGGTAAAATTTAATAAAATTGCAGCAGAATTCAAGAAGGAAGAGCCAAGAGCTCTATATGTACATTGTTATGCACATTTTTTTGATTTAGCAGTAATTAGGTTTTGCAAAGAAATAAAAGAACTCCGAGGCACTCTAAATACTCTAAGTTCTTTATTCAACACTATTTATACGTCTGGGGAAATGCTGGCAAATTTTCAAGACCTTTGCAAGCTAAGTCAAAACAAAACGTGCAGTAAACATACATCTCAGTCTTGTTGGATAGTCCATGATCGTACACTCTTATCTGTAATTGAGAGGTTTCCAGAAATTATTGAAACATTGGAAGTTGTGTCAAGCCATTCCTCAGACACAAGTTTGGTTGATACATTGAGCGATTTGTTGACACTGGTTTCCAAATTTGAGTTTATTTTTTGTTTAAAATTTCTTTATCGAGTGCTAAGTGTTACAGGAATTCTTTCCAGAGAGCTTCAAAGTGAAACCATAGACATTTTCTCTTTGTCTTCAAAAATAGAAGCAATTTTGGAATGTTTATCATCTGAAAGAAATGATGTCTATTTCAAAACTCTCTGGGACGGAGCAGAGGAAATATGTGGGAAAATTACCAGTAGAGGTTTTGAAGTTGAAAAGCCTTCCCTTCAAAAAAGAAGAAAAATTCAGAAAACAATAGATCTTGGCAATTCAGAGAGTATGTTTTTTCCTACTTCAACAGAAGAACAATATAAAATTAATATTTATTACCAAGGTTTGGATATTATATTACAAAATTTAAAATTGTACTTTTCAGAGTTTGATTATTGCAAAATGAAGCAAATTTCAGAGCTGTTACTTAAATGGAACGAACCATTAAATGAAGCAACAGCCAAACATATTCAAGAATTTTATAAACTTGATGCAGATATTATCCCTGAACTGAGATTTTATCGCCACTATGCAAAACTCAACTTCGTCATAGATTATGCTTCCATCAATTTCGTTACTCTTGCCTATTTGTTTATTCAGCATGGTCTTCACAGTAATATTCCTTGTATCTCAAAGCTGTTACATATTGCTTTATCTTGGCCAATTACTTCAGCAGCTAATGCAAATTCATTTTCCACACTGCCTCGTCTTAAAACATACTTATTTCATACTATGGGACAAGAGAAGCTCAGTGGCCTGGCCCTAATGGCTGTTGAGCAGGAAGTGGTAAATAAATTGATGGAGCCTGAAAGACTTAATGGAATTATAGAAAAGTTTATCAGTCAAATGTAAGAAATATACCTGCTAACTGGAATTTACTTAAAACAATTTTATCTACTGTAATCCTGGTTTTCCTGTTTGTTTTGATTTTGATTTGCTTTTTCTTTTTTTTTTTCTTTTTTTTTTTTGTGGTAACAGGGCTCGAACTCAGGACCTTGCGCTTGCCAGGCAGGCACTTACACCACTGAGCTATATCCCCAGCCCTGCTTTTTCTTTTATTTTTATTTATCTGTTTATTTTTTTGAGGTGAGGTATCACTTTTGCCCATAGCTAGTCTGGCACTTGTGAGCCCCTGCCTCAACCTGCCAGGTAGCTAGGACCAAGGCATGACAGTGTGTTCAGCGTGGAATCCTAGTTTGCATCTCAAAATAATCTCTTTTATGGAAACAGTTTTTTTCAAAAGAATTTGTAGTACATTTATATTCACAAGACACAGAATAGCATACAGTGGAAAAGTTTCCTTCCCCTTTTCAGTTCCTCCTTCCTAAACTTTTTATCAGTTCCTTAAATATCTCCTTAGAGATATTTTTCTTTTTCTTTTTCTTTTTTTTTTTTAATTTTTTGGTTTTTTTTCCGGTACCAGGGATTGAACTCACGACCTTGTGCTTCCTGGGCAGGCGCTGTGCCACTGAGCTAAATCCCCAGCCCCCTTAGAGATATTTTTCATAGGTGGTACTGTACAGTGCATACTACTATGCAGCTTGTGCTTTCTACAGAACGATATTTTTGAGATTGTTCCATGTCAGTAAATGATTATTTTTTTACAGCTACAGAATGTTACATTGTGGCCGGGCGTGGTGGCGCATGCCTGTAATCCCAGCACTCTGGAGGCTGAGGCAGGAGGATTGTTGCAAGTTCGAGACCAGCCTGGGCTACAAAGTGAGCTCAAGCTCAGCCTGAACTGCAGAGCAAAACCCTGTCTCAAAAAGACCAGGGGAAAAAAAAAAAAAAAAAAAGAATGTTATATTGTATAAATATACCATAATATAATATCTTGTGCATAGGTCATTTGTACATAATGTTACTGTAAAATATAAAATTAGAATTCCTAGGTCAGAAGGTTTGTACTTTTTTTTTTTTTTTTTTTAAACTTTTTTTTTTAACTGAGAGCTTACTGTGTTTCTCCTGCTGGCCCCAAACTCATGATCCATCTGTTAAAACCTCCCAAGTAGCTAGGATTACAGATGTGTGTTGCTGTGCCTATTTTGTGCATTTTAACTTTGGACAGATGTTGGAAAATAGCTTTCTACAAGGATTATGCCAATTTATGGTCCTACCAACAATGTACACGTGTCTCATTTCCTCAAATCTGTATGTGTTTGTGTGTGTATGCTCGCGCGCGCGCGTGTGTGTTTGTGTGTGTGTGTGTGTGTTATATTTGGGGTTTTTTGAGACAGGATCTTGCTACATAGTTCAGGCTAGTCTTGAACTCACAGCAGTCCACCTCCCTCAGCCTCTTTCTTGAGTGTTAGGTTTACAAGTGTGCATGACCAGACCTGACTCTTCAGATCTTTATAAACAAAGTTATCAAATGTTTTGGTCACTGTCAGTTTGGTAGTTGAAAAGTAGAATCTTAATTTCAGTAGAATTGTCATTTAAGAACAAGGTGAAATATCTGTTTGTTTGGACCATTTGTATTTCCTTTTAACGAACTGTCACATTTAAACATTAAAATTAAGATTAAAAAAATTAAAAGATTGGTGTGTTTTGGTTTCTATATTCCAACTGAATGACACAACAAAAATCAAGCTATTTTATGAAAATCTGACTACATTTTATTTATTTATTTATTTTTTTTGGGGGGGGGGGTTCTCTGGTACCAGGAACCAAACTCATGACCTTGCGCTTGCCAGGCAGGCGCTTTTGCCGCTGAGCTAAATCCCCAGCCCCTTGACTACATTTTAAATAAATAACCCCCAAAGAAAGGACTCTTTCTTTCTCTATACTTTATATATATATATTTTTTGTTGTTGTTGTTGTTGTTGTTGTTGTTTTGTTTTTGTTTTTCTCCGGTACCAGGAACCGAACTCATGACCTTGCGCTTGCCAGGCAGGCGCTTTTGCTGCTGAGCGAAATCCCCAGCCCTACT